TCCCATGGGGCCCCCCCCAGTTTTGGTTTTTTTCAGGGCCCAAAAAAAAAAAAGGGGGGTTTTAGGAAGTTTTTTTTTTCCAACACCCTTGGTTTTCCCCCGTTGTTCCCGGGCCCCTTGGGGCCCTGGGGGGAAAAAGGGGGCCCCTAAAATTTTGGTTTCAAGGAAAAAGGGTTTGGTTGGGGGGCCGATTAAAGCCCCAAGGGGGGGGTTTTTTTTTTTGGGGAAACTCCCGTTTGGGGGGGGGGGGTTACCCGGGGTTTTCCCTTTTTGTTGTTGTTTTTGTTGTTTTAAATGTTGTTTTTTTTTGGGTGGCTTTTGATTTTTCCCTTTTTGGGGTTTTTGGGGGGTTTTTGGGTTTGGGTGTTGTTTGGGGTTTTTTTTTGGGTTGGGTGATTGTGGAGGCCCGCTTTTCTTTTTTGTTCCCTTTTTTTTTTTTCCCCCCCCCCCCCCCCCCCCCGAGCCCGATGGTCTAATGACTACGGCATATATGCGGCTATGAGTACCCCTTTAGTGGTCAATGGCCTAAAGCAAGCAAAACATGAGTACGCCCCCCCCTCCCCCCCCTTTTCTCCGAACAGCGGTCCGACTTCATCCTGTTCATCAACGACCGGTTGGTGGAGAGCCCGAGCATCAAGAAGACCGTCGAGTCGGCCTATAAGGACGTCCTGCCGAAGAACACTCACCCTTTCGTCTACCTCGGCATCACCATGCCTAGCCACCACCTCGACGTCAACGTACACCCCACCAAGCGAGAGGTGAGGTTCCGACCTGAGGAACGACCGCTCAAGCGCTGCTGCTGTAGTTTGCAGAAGGTGCCACACCCCCAGGGACCGATTTTTTTCGAAGCTCTCGGTTTCTCCACGACGAAGAGGACGCCGATATCAAATGATGCGTTTTTGGAAAGCTCTCGACGAGACGGTTCCAACGCTGAAATTTTTCGGCACCGTCGCCGCTTTTTCTTGCCGAGCAGTCGAGCTTTGAAAATCGGTCCGGGGGGTGTGGTATGTTACGTACCATAGTTGCGAAAAGCTGTGGTTGGTTGGTCGTGCGCTAGGTAAGAGAGAGGAGAGGCCCAAGACTCAGGCGTACCCACAAGGTATGTAGTTTTCCTTCCCAAGAGGAACTCTGGCTGAAGAGCAAGTCTAAGCCTGCACGCAGACGAGAGCGCTGTTCGTCCAGACTTCCGAGTTCCAGAAGAGTCGTTCGAGAAAGCACGCGCGATGCAGTATGTGGGTGCACGGCATGCGAGCGTGCGGTTCTCGTCCACTTGTTCGCTGTCTACTAGAAAGCAGTTGGTTGCCGCCGACGTGCCCTTGAAACGGATGTTAAAAAGCTATCCTCATGTTTAAATACTTCTACATTCTCAACAACGCGCACGCTACATACACGAAAATGAAGCTCCACCCCCTGCACAATTGCATCAACCCCCCACGAGCGATGACATGCCTATACTGTTGCCGGTAACCCTGATCGGGTTTTGGTCGCTTGTGATTGTGGCGTGTGTCTTTATGTTTCTGTATGTCTTCTTAATATTTATTTTTTGTTTGTCTTGCCTCTTTCTCTTTTTTCTTTTTTCTCTTTTTTTTTCTCTTTTGTCCTTTTGGTGTCTTCCCCGCATGACCTTCTCTCTTTCTCTTTGCAGTATCAAGATTGAAATCAGGGGATATACCTCTCTCTCTCTCTGGCCGGTGATGTTCGAACTCCAGTTCGTTTCTGCTCCACACAGCGTGTGTGTAGAGGGGGTCGGCGAGCCCCCGATTATCCGCCGTCGGTTTATGTTGGCTTGCGGACCCTTCGAGTCCATTTTATTTTGAGCATCACTTTTTTAGGCAAGTTAGCCTGTGACCACGGGAATCGCTCGGTCAAGTGTTTTGATCAGTCCGGGAAGATGAAGGTACTGGGTAGAGAGATTGGAACAGTTTCTAACGTGAAGACAACAACAACTACAATAGCCAACCACGAGCGTCTCACCGTTCTGCTATTTGCATCCTGACATCGTGTCATTTTTTTGTGGGTGCGTGTGTGTCTTTATTATTTGCATCGCCCGCGCTAGCGGTCTGGCTAACCAATGAAAATACGTCAGTCTCAGTGAGGCACTGATCTGGGACCCCGCGAAGGGGCGGTCATGGGGGAGGCTAAGGTGCTCTCCGGATTTAATGGGTTCGTGTGTTATTGTTTATTTCCCTTTCGCGGCAGGTTCATTTCTTGCACCAAGAAGAGTTGCTGGAATGCCTCCGGCAGGCTGTGGAACAGAAGCTAGCGGGTGCGAACCAGTCCAGAACCTTCTACAGCCAGGTACCGTGGGCACGTTGGGTGCGGGATGGCCTTGTGACTGACGATGAGCCAATAGCTTAGGCTATATGGTACCCCTTTTATCCGGCATGATAAGCATTGGTGACGGCGGTAGTGATGGCGGTGTGGTACTGCTGACGTCGTCGCTGGTGCTGGCGTATATCGAGGAGGTTGTCGAATGCAGCCCTTCGGTTCCGAACGCCGCACCCCCCGCCTCGGTTGACATCCCTTACCTTCACAAAACACGCTTGTGCAACGCTCTACCTTGTGATCATCTATATAAACAAACACCGAAGGTCATCCTTCCGGACATGGACTTCGGCACGCCTGAAACCACCACAACAACGGCCGCAGCCGGGACCAGCAGCAAGAAACCCGGGGACAGAGGGGATGCATCCCCGGATACCGAAGGCCCTACTCCGCCTGAAAGCAGCGGCGGCGGCGGCGGCGGCGGCGGCGACGCCTCCGCTAGTCCGCGGTCATCGTCCCGCCGATCCCCGCCCGCACCCCGCAATGTCGGCCTCGAGGCCATGGTGGAAGGCGACGAAGGTGGCGAAGAGGAGGCAGGGGGCGACGCTGGATCATCATCCGGGGAGGGTGGCCAAGCGGCAAGGGTGAGCGGGACCGGGCGGAAGCGGGGCAGGGCAGCGGCGGTAGACCTCGATTCGTTCTCGTCGTCGTCACCGGGTGGCGGGGGGCGCCGTGGATCTTCGTCCCGGGGGGGGGATCGCGAGTCGTCACCCTCGGGTGGCGGCGGCAAGAGAAAGAAGAAGCAATCGTCTGGTGGTGGCGGGGGGAGTGTGGCGTCTGTGGCGCCTCAGAAGCTCGTGAGAACGGACCGCACGGCCGGTAACCTGGACGCCTTCTTGCGGCCGTCGCAGCAGCCGGCGCTGTTCTCTCCTTTCCAGCCTTCTCAGTCCGGCGGGAGCAGCAAACAGAGAGGCAAGGCTCGCGGAGGCGGAGGCGGCAGCGGTAGGTCTTCCGACATGGAGGAGGACGGGCGCGGACGGAAGGCGAAGGGGGGAAGTAAGAATGAGGAGGATGGTGATGCGGCGGCCGCTGGCGGGGCCGAGGGGCCGGCCGTGACGGAGATTTATTCGTCTGAAGAAGAAAAGGGTGAGGGAGGAGAGGATGGCGAGAAGGAGAAGGAGGAGGGCGAAGTGGTCATATGCGTGTGCCCGGTACCCGACGTCGGGCAACCGGACAACGTGGGCCAGGAGGAGGAGGAGGTGGGGGAGGAGGAGGGGAAAGGTCCAGCCTCGGAGGCGACAAGCGGGGATCGATCACAAGAAAAGCCGAGTGCTGGCAGCGGTACAGGCGGCGCGGTGGCAGCAGCGGTGGAGCGCCCGGACAAGGAAAAAACACCGCCGCAGACGAAACGTGATAACAACAACGAGGAACAGAGCAAGATGAAACCATCGAAAAGGAAGAAGCAGGCCATGCCTTTCGCGGGCATAAGCAAGCTCGGTCGACCACACCAGAACTGCAACTGTTGCGGAGGCAGGGCCCCGCGAGGCCCCGACGGGTCCATTGTTTTGACGCAGGAAGCGGGTGCGACTGGCGGCAGCAGCAGCACCCCCGGGGATGGCATCGATGGCGTCCCCCAGCGAGGAACCACTTCTTCTCAGGACAGCAGCAGCAGCGGCAGCCAGGCGGCGGCGGTGAGGGCGCAGCAGCAGCACAGGCGGCCGGACACCTTTGTGGAGACCAGCGTCAAGTACAACAGCGTCCGCTCGCTTATCGCAGACTTCAAGACGCAGGCGAGTGAGACGGGGCTGAAACTTGAAGGGCAAGGTGGGGGGAGTCGTGGGGACATTTGGTTGTGTGTGGAGGCATGTTCATGGTTGTGCGTTTTTTTCTCGGGGGGGGGGGATGACCCACACGCACACATGGTGGGTCTTTGGATATAGCGTTTTGTTTCTGGCGAAATGTTTGGAGGAATGATGCGGCGGTAGCGGCTGGAAGTTGAGCGATGAGAGAGAGAGAGAAGAGACTTTCAAACTGTTGCGAGGTTCACACCCGTAGCAATCCCTGAAGACCCCGATGAAGATTAACCTCTTGCAACACCAGTGCTTACTGTTGTCTCGCTCTCTTTGGTAGCAGCGCCACCTCTAGAGAGGGGCTTCATTACGGCTCATCCCCTGCTATAAATTCTATCCCAGGGAGTTGCATTTCCCGCCACACCTAAATATCTTACCAAGGACTGCCGTTCAAATCCTTGAACCCAAACCCCACAATAACATCGCGCTCTGGTGTGCTTCTTGCCGCGGCTATACCAGTTGGCTGCTTTTCGTTCTCAAATGAAGGGACTGCTGCTGTGCAACACTCACACAGCTGCCGTCACAGCGACGTCAAGACATGGCTCTAATTGTTTTGTTTTTTTTGTGTTTCAGAACCTCATCCGCTACCGTCGGCCGCGCTATCTACCCACCGTACCGTACACCCGTTCCTCTTGGCGGAGAAGGCTGCAACCAGCGGTCACATATCAAATATCAAAGCCGTCAACGATGCCTCCCGTTTTTTGCTTGTGCCTTCAGGCGCACAAGGGACTGACGCAGATGCTCAGGAAGTACTCCTTCGTGGGCATGGTCGACTTGCACCTCTCGCTGCTCCAGTTCAACACCAAGCTCGTGCTCGTCAACCACACGGCGCTCAGGTAGGCTGCCGTTGTTGTTGTTGTTGTTGTTGTTGTTGAGGCAATGGTGCGTGCTGCTTCTCTTAAGCGGAACATATCTAACCAGGGCTGCGTTCGTAGCTTTTGCGGCCAGCCGCTTTCAATTTTGGTCACTCAAGCTCTCCCGCATTCGGTTCATAGTTAACTTTCCCTCCCCACCCCAGGAGACCTCCGGCGGCAAAACGTCAGGACACCACCATTTCTCAAGACCAAAGCTACAGCACTAAGAAAATAACGTGTCCCCTCGACAGAGGAAACGCCTATGACATTGTAGCTGGCGTTGCTTGTGTGGCTTACTTCGCGCTTGGTGGTGTAGAGCTGGCGTTCAGGGGGCGAAAAAACGATGCTTTCCCGCCCCCCTTCCCCTTACCGTAGGCATGCGACGCTGCACCGTTCGGCACACAGTAGCTGTGCATGATGAGTAGTAAAGAAGGGACGAACTGCACCTCCCCCCGCGCCTTTCTCCGTCCTCTCGAGTACGCATGGCCAAACGGTCTAACCGCTAAGGCATGCGAAACATGGGCACCCCCCCCCCCCCAAACCCCCCAAATGGTACCCCCCCTTTTTTTTCCCCCCCGACGCCTTTTTCCCTATCACTCTCCCGACATTCCTCCCCTTGCCTCCCCTGCCCCTGGCGATTCCTTTGCCGGGGCTTGCCCTCATCCGCGCAGCTTTCCATCTGCCCGAGGCGGCCTGGACTGCCCTGGTCGGGGATAAGGGCCAC